AGAAGGAATAGTTCTTTTAGATATCCAGGGTACGTAGAAACAAGCAAGCTCTTGAAAACGACCATAAGAATTTTGGGAAGTCTTCCGGTTAATAGGGATGCTATCTTTGCTTTCTTTAATAGTTCATCATAACTAGACATTAAATCATTGAAAGTAAATCGTAAAATATGTTTCTTCAAAGACTGCAATCTATCACAATTTTTAGTGCCCCAAAAATGCCAAATAACAGAGCAATATTGAAGGTGTGGTTGGATGAAAGCCTTGTATAAACGTAGCATGACATCTCTGGTATTAACAATTTTTAAATCTCTTAAAAACACTGGATTGTTTTTTAACCTGCTTACATATCTGTGAGATGTGACGAGTAAAGCTCAAATCCTTGTCAATAGTTACACTGTTATCAAATTCAAGTTTGTGTTCCAGTCGTGTGTTCAGTATTTCCTAGGTCCTTGTCAGACAAGTACAACTGTTAATCATCGGCATAGACATTCAGGTTTGCCTACCTAATATGGTAGAATAAATCATTGATGTGAACATTGAAAAATATGGGACAAAGGACACTTCCCTGGGGGACTCCTCTTCTCACCAGTTCCCATTCAGAAAACGTGTCTCCAATTTTAAGTGTGGTATTGTTGCAGAAAGGTAGCTCCTCAAGAGTTCAATGCTCATTTCGCTAAGATCATTGGCCTTGAGTCTGGCCAACAAGAGGGCGTGAGGAATGCTATCGAAAGCCTTTGATACGTCCTTAGAAGCAATCGTTACAGTCTCTTTACTATCACGACTTCTCCAGTCTTCTGTCAGTCTTAATAGAGGTGTTTCGCACTGTAATTTGGTCTGTATGCAGAGATGAAATTGTTGCGAAGGTATAAACGAACTCCAAGATGACAACACAACGCTTTATTAAAAAGTAATAACAGAAAGAAATGGCGAGGCACGATCAAAACACTCAACGACGCCCGGCAAATCCCAAATCCCAACAGACTCAGCGCAAATCACATGGTTTTTATCCACAAAATCACTTGACAGCTGTCTCTCTTTGTCTCACAAAAAAGGCATAACACAAGGTAATGACACGCAAAGTCACGCTCTTCTCAACATTCCTCCTACCCGCACTGAGGGGACTGCAGTGTGTATTACACGGTCAGTTTAACATTAAATGATCTCAACTAAGCTCGCTTTGAAAAAGTGGTACCAATTTATGGATTGATCTCACCACAGTTTTGTCTCCTACTTGAACTTTCGCAACGTGCGGATGTCTGTCCTGACCAGGATACGTCCCCAAGATACGTCCTAATGGCCACTGTGCTTGTGGCAGCTTTGGATCCAGAACCTACACGATGTCCCCTTCCTTTAGGTCCTTGACGACTTCAGTCCACTTGAGAGAGCGTTTAGAGTAGGTAAATACTCTTTTAACCATCTAGACCACACTCGAGAGATTAACTCTTGCGCCTTTCACCATCTCTTCCTTGGATTGAATCTCATAGTACCAACACTCTCCGGTGCAAACTGTCCTCCCATTTGTCCATACAAAAAATGGTTGGTGTGGTCAGTTCTTCATCCGTGATATCACTGCTTCTCAGAACAGCATATATTGCCTTCTTAGCGGCTTCAAACATTATGTCATGTACTCCGCCGAAGTGGGAACCTCCAGGAGGGTTAAATTTCCACTTTATTCCCTTGTGTGTAGTCATACGCTGAATCTTATCCTTGTCCATCTGGTTTACAAGCTCCTTCAGTTTATTGTCAACACATTAAGAAAACTATCAGTATCGAGCCCCCACGCTACTTCAAGATGAACAACACGAGTCGCTAAGCATGTGAAGACACACAACCACCTCTTTAAGTAATAACAATAAAATAAGAAATGTTTTCTTTGACCAGGGCGACCTCTTCAGCATAAAATGCTGATATCAATAAGGGCCCTGCGAAAAAAAAAACTAAAAAGCCTAAATACAGTCACCATCTTTAAAAGTAATCAAAAAGCTTGCGATCTATAGAATTCTAAAATACGAGTTTTAAAAATCATGACTCAGTTAAGATCCCTCAGTTTATTAGGAATATCATTAAAAAGTTTTGATCCATTAAAATAAAGACTTCCTTACAGTCTCAATTCTCACTTTGGGAAGCATCAAGTTCTTCCCACTTCCCCTCGTGTTGTGGATAGTTCTAAAAACCTTAAAAAAATCTTTAAAAAACATTAGAGGGGATCCCTTTAAGCATTTGAAAGTTAAATTAATAGTATGCATGTCACGCCTCGTAGACAAGGGAAGCCACTTTAAATTCTTCTCGGCGTCTGAATCTTTGGTCTTCAAGACAATCTTTGCCGCCCTTCTCTATACACAATCTAACCTATTACGTTCTATTTTCCCAATGCTGCTCCATGTAACTTCGCAATAATACATAACGCCCTTGGATGGTGGTGAAGGGACCTGCGTAATCTAATGCTGTCTCGTGGAAATACTTGACTGTCAGCCTTGTCACCCACTGACCCCTTGGCAGTATAACAGGAATCTCGCATCATACGGAAGGCTTTTCAGCAAA